TGACTGGTCTTGTGAAGGGACTCCACTGCAAGACCATTTTAAGTCCAAGTCGTGTCCCCCTCCCACAAATTTGAGTCAAATGTTGAGCGAAGCTCCTGCAAACAAATTGCAAATATGTCATCAGAAGAAGCCCTCTGTTGGTGTGGTGGTGTTACACATGTACCTTGACTGGAATCGATCCGAGCCTGTCGTTTGGCGGCGCACTCCTCGATCTTCAGTTTGGGGTACCCCTCGGCCACCGCCTTGGCCATTCCACCCATCGCTTCGATCTGTCAACGCAAGACAATAACGGTCACAACCCTGAACAACAGGTGCAGCCCTAACGAGAGCAATTCAGAATACACACTGGAGCCTCCTGGCCCGAGTATAGACTAGAGACTTGGCCTCATATAGAAAGAAAGATGGACAGCCTTCTCAACAGCTGTTGAGACTCTATTGGTTGTCAATTCTCCCTTCCTTGCAGTTGGATTGACCAAACCTTCAAACACAGATACAAAACTGCTGTAGCCTACGAAGGTATTCAAACTAGTCCTTGACCCTGTGTGACCCCAAACCATTACTCAACTTTGGGCTCCCACTCCACAGTTACCTACCTCATCTATGACCTTCTTGGCGGCGTCATACATCTCATCCGTTAGACTCTCCATCAAGAAGGAGCCTCCCCAAGGATCGGCAACCTGGGTAGGCAATAACCAAGTCCTCCGAGATCAACCCCTTCTTACCCAAAGCCGACGGTCGTTACAGCGCTAAGACTCCCGACATGATGAGTACTGCACTGAGAACTGGCCTTACGTCTGGTTAACAACACTTATAACACACTTTGCTGTTCAGAGCGCCACGTCTGCTGATGTGTGACACCCACTACAGGTCACATGGCTCAGCGGGCACAATCGGTTTATTGAACAGGTTTGATTTTTCAGAACCCAGTTTGCTGGATCTGACGTCACTGGAAAGCAGTGCAAAGCAATGCTGAATTCCCACTGGATGTAATGTTTACTTCAAGTTTCAACCAATCAGATTTCCCAAAGGTGACGCAACTCAAAATGGAAGCCCACTGAAACAGACAGCAATCATGTGACTGGCCACCATTGGCCGATTATAACAAAGAACTGAGCATGCGAGCTGGTAACGTTACTGTTGACCACAGGTGTGGGAAATTACGAAGGCATGGGGAGGGCTTTGCCTACCTTAGCAATGCCGCTCTCCTCTTGGAGGATTATCTGCGTGTTCCGTGCAATCCGGGCGCTCTTGACGGTGGGCAAGCCCAGGGCCTCGTCAAACGAGTTGGTGTGGAGTGACTGGGTACCGCCAAAGGTGGCCGCCATGGCTTCGATGGTGGTGCGGATCACATTGTTGTACGGATCCTGTGAGTAAAAAAAAAAAAAGACCCTTGAAGAATTAGTATTCAAAGGTTAGAATCATCACCCCTTCACACACCTTCGCCAGTGTTGTTGCAGTACATTTTTGACTGTGCCCGGCATTCAGAAATTTCTCTGTCTTGGGGACACAATCAATTATACCAAAATGGACGTACCGTTTGTGCCAATATGTCCATTCTTCCAAAACAGGTAGATCAAACATGTTGACTTTTCTCACCGATGGTTCAACATACATGAGAGCGTGAACTACAAGTTACCAAGAAATCCAAACTCTGCAGGTATGCACTAAACTTATAATTGATGCATTTATTTGCTGGCCAAGTTTTAAAATAACACTGTTTATGGCATTGCTTGGATGGGGGGGGTGTAATCTAATGCAGGGTGTAAAATGGTCCCAAAAAACTGAGTTGAACATTCTTGGGCCATCAAACACCAGGTGAAGTAACAGTGGCCAGGCTCTAATCTCCTAAATCCAGCAAACATTTCCGCAACCTCGATACAGATCTTGAAAGGCGAGGACCAGGGAACCTTTTGAAATGAACAGGAACATTTGGAGTGTCAAGATTGCTCTCTTACAAACCTGTTCGGTGAGAGACCATCCAGAGGTCTGGGAGTGGCACCGCAGCACCATGGACTTGGACTTCTTGGGCTGGAAGTGGTCGCGGATCAGGTGTGCCCAGAGTCGCCGGGCCGCCCGCATCTTGGCAATCTCCATGAAGAAGTTCATGCCGATGGCCCAGAAGAAGGACAGACGGGGGGCGAACTGGTCGATGTCCAGGCCCGCTGCCAAGCCTATTCACAACCACCCCCCCCCAATAACACAGAGAGTGATCAAAACACAACTATTTGAGAGAAAGCAAAGGCTTTTCCATTTGGCAGCTGCAGAAGTACACGGCATCAGTTCTGCTAGGAAGTTGTTATCTTCAAATATGATTTCAAACCTTCCTTGATGGAAGAAACTAGACAAGCTTGTGAATAACAGAAGTTAATTTATTATTTCCAAGGATGGATTAGCATATGTTAATTAATTTTGGGTTTTGCCTCGCTTGACGTGTATTATAACACTATATACTCAGTGTTTGCCCCCGAGGGCTTGTAAAAAAAAAAACAAGTGTACTCGGGTGAGACTCGAACCCACGACCTCCTGCTTTAAATAGTCTCACTGTACTGCTTACTGTTGATTGGTATGATATTGCAGAGGTTAAATACACAGTTGCTTAAATTTCTTTGTAATCTGAACATTAATCCTGACTCCCTGGGTTGGAACCACCAAAATCCTTGACTCAGCAGGAACCAACTGCAGGCTCTACCTTCCTCGATCCTGAAAAATCCACCAAAAACCTCATTGTGGAATTTGAAGGAAATGGGAGGTTTAGAGCCGAGGCAGACAAAGGGTGAACCCGCACCTGTTCTACAATACTGCAGCCCGTTGCCTAGAGTGAATGCCATCTCTAGGACGTTGTCAGCGCCAGCCTCTTGGAGATGGTAGCCGGAGATCGAGATGGAGTTGAACTTGGGCATGTACTGCAGGTGATGAACACAGTCAAGGATCAGTGTGTCATGAAACTCGGGCAATGCACAGAATGGGCACCGGTGCCTGTGGCAGTAGCTATCTTCTACAGTGAGCCAATGGCACATGGGTAATTCCAGGAAAATTAGGGGTCCATTTTTTTTGTGTGTCCCTGTCACATCAGACATACGATTTTGTGAGTTCTGAACATATTGTCTAATTTCCAAGAGTGGTATTTTAATTCAAATTACCTGCCAAACAAATGGTAATAGTCTGAGATCAATTCTGGTGATATTTCCATGTCAAATAACAAAACTCAAATGTAACAGGGACACAAAAAGTCACACTTTTGGACCCAAATTCCTGGAATTACCCACATACCAAGGCAACAGCCATGAGAAGCCGGTTTCACATGCAGCCTTTTACAATTTCACAGATCCTCGGTATATTTCTTAAGTCTGCTTTTTGATGACTGAGCATTTCACCCTTCTCCATGAACTAACTTGGGCCGTGTCCAAAACGGCCTTCCAGAGCTACGGCTAGGTCTATTTCTGCAGCGTCTCCACGCATTTCCAACGGAGCGAAGACCTAGACCTAGCTCTAGACAAGAGATTCGGATGTAGCCTTGGTTTTACATTTTGCTCTACTTTCCTGCCTTTATTTTGTTCGTGCTTCATCGCAAAGAAACCAAACCGATCCAATGAAAACAGAGCTAGCCAATCGTCATGACGCAACTGTTATCGATTACTTTTTTGATAGTCATTTGCAGGTATCTGGCAATTGAACGACTCCAAACACACACACTCTCTGTGAAGTATGGACGAATCCAGCGATGTTTAACCGGACCCGTTCATGGCAGAAAGCAGTGTTTGGGGTTTTGTCCAGAGTGATTGGCTCCATGCAACCTTATCACAGTGCTCGCTTCCATAAGCGGGGGCCACTTCGTATGACCAGGATTAGCATTACCGTGGTCACCAGATGCATCCTAAGGTTCAACGGTTAGGCCGAAGGTTAGCCTACTCTTCAAGAAAACTTCTTTTCCTGATGACCTCTGTATTGAGGTCTGCTTCAATTAAAGAGTTTAATGCAGTCACCTGAGTGGATGTGTGAATTCGTCCAATCAGATTGCAGAGAAAAAATCTTAGAAATGCAAAGTGTCCAATAAAATCTCAGAAGCCATGCAACCATCACCAGACCTCAACGACGATGAAGGTTTGTCAGTCAATCAGCCCAGCACGCTGTCAGAAGCGACCGCAAAGCCTGCATGGAGTTCTTCGGAGACTGCAGACACAAAAAGTAAATCGTACAATACCTTGGACGTGTAGGCAAAGATGTCGCCTATGATGCGCATGGACGGCTCGGGCGGGTAGATGTATGTGTTGCGCACCATGAACTCCTTCAGGATGTCGTTCTGAATTGTGCCCGTCAGGAGCTCCTGCTTCACGCCCTGAGGTAAAATGGAGCAGTCCATGTCTTCACTCACAACAAAAGCTATATTGTTGATTGAGGGTCGAGCAACAAAATAACTTGGAAAGCAATCTTCAAGATGTTAATTAACACTTGTAATTGCCCTCCTTTAATTACAAACTGAAGAAATAAGATAAACAGTGGAAAGTAAAAATAACAAATTCTCTCATCACGTTTTTAAAACAGGAACGTGTGAGTTTTTTGACGTGGTGCTGGAACATCCAACCTCAAGAATTGATAATTTGAATGAACTCGAGAAGTTTACAACTATTCTCCACACAAAATGTCAAGGATTGCAGTAATTAAAAACAGCACTGAAGAGTGAACATTTAAAAAATGCCTAACCTGCTCTTCCGCAGCGGTGATGAACATCGCCATGACTGGAAGCACCGCTCCGTTCATCGTCATGGAGACGGACATCTTATCCAATGGAATGTCATCAAACAGCATCTGGATAACGAAGAAAACAAAAAGGAAAAGTGTAAAACTCCAGTTTTTGAAACGATTTATGTATTGATGTAAAACGGCAAAGAATTCTATGTTCAGTTTACCTTCATATCGTCAACGGTATCTATGGCAACGCCTGCCATACCAACATCACCATGGACACGGGGGTTATCGGAGTCATACCTGTGAAGAAGAAAAAGAATGACCTGGCATGTGTCGCCAAAGACACTGATTCAAAAATAACAATAGAACCACACTTTAACCATTTCCTGCCGGGTGCTTTTAGAAATGCAGTGCCTCCATACGGGTGATTTTTCAATATCTTCGGTTTTCAAAAATCTTCAAAAATTCTTATCTTTTTTTCCTGAACGCCTAAACCCCATGGAAGTACTGTCTGGTGGCTACTCTAATCTGACAGACAACATCTATTGACGCCTGAGTATTTCAGCCAGGCCTGCCGCCTTGTAAAGAGAGCCCAGATTGTGTGGTGTTACACAAGTTTCTTTTGTTCCCGAAACTGGCACAGTGCGCACATCTGGGTCTTTTCAATGGGGGCCAGATAAGCGTGCAGCAGTATTGTATCGCTCATCTTTGGAGTGCTGGATCACTTTTGTCCCCGGTGGTAATCCACTCGTGCTGAATGCCACAAAAGGTGGTATAATCTTTCAAAAAATCACGGATTTCCTCCGCTATTGACAACTGAAAAAATGTCGGCAATTCCCAGCAGCTCTGTCTTTTGTTCAAAGTACGGTCTTTTGTTACAAGGCCCAAGCTCTTTTGTCCGATTTGGGGCACCCCGGTTATGTGTACAAACCCAAGGTACCCGGAAACGGGCTCTCCGGCAGGATATGGTAATTTAATTTGATTTAATTTTCAAAATTTTAGTGAGGCTCTTTAAGGGCTTTTAGGTGCCGTTATTCTCAGGCCAATTCAAATTTGCATATTTCTGAGAGAGAGTGTGATGTCATACCAGGAAGCCTGGATAATACAGCTATTTCTGCATTAAAATTTGTCCACATTTGAGAAATTATGCTGTTGGAAATGTTCCTTACTTAGGTCGGTTGCTGTTTCAGTTCACGACAACAAGCCAGCGAGCAAAGATTTCTCATACGTATATTCAATGAGCTCATTTTGGGTCCACTAGTTTGAGAGGACAACCCCATAGACATCATCGCAAAAGCTTCAGGAAAAGCATAGACATTCTTAATGTTGAAAGATGTTTTAGAATAAGAGAGTTTGACATTTATGGGAAGTTGGAAATTGCACAGAACATGTTTTGAAGTAAAATCTACTTAACGGATGCCTAAACTAAGTTAAAAGAATGTGCACCATCCCTACTGTTCAATGGAAACAGCACTCAACTCAACCTATTTTACAACAGAATGTGCACAATTCCTACTGTTCAATGGAAACAGCACTCAACTAAACCTATTTTACAACAGAATGTGCACAATCCCTACTGTTCAAAGGAACACATTAATTTAAGTAACAAGATTGAGCTCAATCTATTTTACAACAGAATGTGCACAATCCCTACTGTTCAAAGAAACACACTGATTTAAGTAACAGCACTCAACTCAACCTATTTTACAACGGAATGTGCACAATCCCTACTGTTCAATGGAAACAGCACTCAACTAAACCTATTTTACAACAGAATGTGCACAATCCCTACTGTTCAAAGGAACACATTAATTTAAGTAACAGAATTGAGCTCAATCTATTTTACAACAGAATGTGCACAATCCCTACTGTTCAATGGAAACAGCACTCAACTCAACCTATTTTACAACGAAATGTGCACAATCTCTACAGTTCAGAGGAACACATCTGAGTATCACAGCACTCGACCAATTTTGACCTGAAAGTGCTCAAAGCCCATCCTCTTTAACCCCCCATTCTTCATCTTATGCTGCCCGTCATTTTCACATGTGAGGGCCTCGTTATGCTAAGGCCGCATGGTGCTGCAATTGCAATTGATGCCACCACCTACTCACCCTCTGTGCGTAGCGAGGTCGAAGGCCACGCTGAGGCCCTGCTGGCCAGCCTTGATGTTCTCCTTGTAAAATCGGTTGCTTTCCTCCACCGTGCTGAACCCTGCGTACTGAGACGAGACAGAGAATCATCGTCACATTGCTTCAGGTCTTGCTACGAAAACAGAGCGTGGAATTCCCCAAATTTTGTTGGAACTTTTTCTGAGAAAACCGGCACTAGTCAAAACCAATAGCTATTAGCAAATCCCACCCAATTCACTTCTTGAGGGAGTTACAGGCACATCTAGCTCATTAGCTAGAATTGAATTCTAGGAAGGTGGAACATTGAATTCAAACCACAAGGGTCCAACTCTAGCTACAACTTCTAGTCAACTGAACATAACAGACTGGAATTGAGACTACTGGTGTGAGGGTCTGAACTGGAGCACTTGGTAGCACTCAAGGTCACATTTACCTGTCTGATTGTCCACGGCCTCTGGGTATACATGGTGGGGTAGGGACCCCTTGTATACGGGTACCGGCCGGGGAGTTCCTCATCGTGTTTGGCTGTGTCTTGCCTGGTGTACAGCGGTTTGATGTTGATTCCCTGCATGAAAATCCAAGTCCATTTATGTTGTGTGATTTTACGAAGTATGTGCGTTGATGTGCATTAAGAAATAAATCTAAGGAATCAATCTGAATGTTTCATGTAGACACTTCTGAAATCAGAAATAACTTTCATAAAAAAACAGGGGAATGACCACAACTGTTGATGCAGAAAGAAAGGCAGAAAATTTAGTAACTTTGAAAATGAATATATACAGGGGTGTGAGCTGCCACTTACATTTAAAGCTAAAAACGGCTAGCAAAAAGTTGAAATGTATAAAGTTCCCATACTTTTGTCCAGACCAGGTGTACAAAAAAGGTGGGTCCACATCTAAACGAAAACAGCTGAATTCTCACACCCCTGCTATTCCTCTTGTCCACTTGACACCGGAGGACATGTAAACACACAATTTTTCTTATTTGCTCCACAGAGGACTTCAATGCTCGTTTACAAATTCTTTTTTCATTTCCATGGTTGACATGTTAACTCATCGTGCTTGGTTGGGTCAAAGTGCGGAAGATGATCCTACATGCTTGTCCTAAGTGGACCCACCCCCAACCAACAATAAAATGGAAATGCCTTTCATTAGTAATCAGAATTGCATTGGGGAGCCCACACCATATTCAGAAGAGCTAACGGGATTAAAGACCTAAGTGGATTTGCTAAGGAGTGAAACCACGGTTACAAAAGAGATAAGGTTACAGAAATCCCAACTAACAACTCCTTTGTATTAGAAAAATTGGCAAAAAAACACACATGGCCATGGGCGACACCTGCTATTTGCTATGGACCTTTTGCATGTAAACCAGTCGACGTCTGGACATGTGCCACAATTTTTACCAGGGCAGTAGAAAAAAAACGGGGAAATGAATGAAAATACTGATGCCAAAGCTCAATGGCTGCGCCTCCCAACATATCTTATGGGCACCATAAATAAATCGCTAGGTTCATGGGGGAGTCTTGTAAGCAAGGCAGTTCTTTCCTCGCCTTCCACCTGTGGTCCCGCGCTCGATTCCCGGCCCAGTCCACATGTGGATCGGGTTTTTAGTCCCTGGCTCTGTGGGTTTTACCCAGAATATTCCTCTGGGGTTTTCCTCCCATCAATAAAACTGTAACTGCTTCTTACTGTCTCCCCTTTACTGATGTTAACTTGGTGAATGTGGGTCGTTTGGCGGCTGCCTGAGGTGCCCTTGTATGCCATCGGCTTAACTTTGTTTAAATGTATTCATTGTTCCACGCTTAATGTCTTCATTGTACAGTGCATTTGAACATATCTATATGAAATCTGCACTTTACAAATTAATAAATTATTATTATTAAGGTTGAAGAGTTTCCAGGAAAAAAAAACCCCCAACGACCAGCAGCTTCTTCGGGTAAGAAAATCCAACATCAACTGGCAATAAACACGCAAGAAAAATCTTGGGGCAAACCTCTGGAGTTCTCCAGGTAAGTTTTTCGGCCGGGTCCGCCCCTTTCAGTTGTTTCTTGGCAAGCTCCACCCATTCTTTGTGCAGAGGCTCACGGTTGATGGATCTGACCGGCACCTGACTGCATGTGGGCAACACTGCCTGCTAAGTGGGAAGGGTCAAATACATATCGTCAAATACACAATTTTAGTGAAAATGCCTTCTATGAAATCCCCTTTGCATGTATGGATCCCTTACCCATCAATACTCTGATGTAATACTTTGGGCAGTTTCTAATTTGTAGAAGTCCGTGAAATTTTGGTTTTGATTTGCGCCATTCATTTACTACAGTGACTAACTCCCAATCGCTGACCGATGCCAAACACAGTCAGGATCTGTTTGGTCTGGGAACCAAATTTGCAACAGCATTACGTAGATCCCCAGAGCATGACATAACCAATGAAGGTTGATGAATGATGAACCGAAATGCATACGATGCGTGGGATCGAGTGTCAACTCGTTGCTAGACACATGGTGGTATGTGTGGAGCACACACCATTCGCTCATTCAGTCCTTATCCCACACGATGATGACGCAAACCTGTGAAAATACCGCAAAGCTGCTGTTTTTGACAAATTCATTCCATTCACACATACACGCAAGGCTTCCTTACACAGTTAATGATAAAACAGCAGTTTGGATCACCGTCTCTTATGCTGTCTGGTTCCCAGACCAAACAGATCCCGACTGTGTTTGGCATTGGTCAGCGATCGGGAGTTAGTCGCTGTAGTAAGAAAATGGCCCAAATCGAAACCAAAATTTCACCGACTTCTACAAATTGGAAATCGCCCGAAGTAATACATTAGAGTATTGATGGGGCGAGTGATCCATACACGCGAAAGGGCTTTCATATAGAAGGCATTTTTGCTGAGTCCCCACTTTTTGAATGGACCGCTGTGGGACCAAGCATACAGACGGAGTCCAGTAGACTGGCCCCCAGTCTGGGGCTAGTATGACCCGGAGCGAGTGTGCATAGACCTACAGGCAATTAAGGCTAGAGGAGTGACATCCTTCACTCATGTCACTTCACAAAATACAAATGGCTAGTTTTCAATCCCATTTCTGGCAATAAACGTATTGAAAAACCGTCCCAATGCATCATGTTACCTTACGCCAAAAGTTCAAATGTGTGGTTTTGGCAGCGGTTAAACGAAGCATTTTTGGCGAAAAACGTTAACAGAACTTCGTAGATAACTGCGTTGGACCCCGTACCGTACCGACCGATCCTGCACAATTAGTCTGGCTAACATAACAGTGTTAGTGATGCCCTAGTCGCTATGTGCCAGCAGGAGGCAGCAACCACACTCAAGTTTCCCACACTGCTCAAGACACAATGTGAAATCAATGTGGTGTGGTCAGGGGACGAGACCAACAGGAACAACGAACGGTAGCCGTTAGAAAACATCAGTTGAAAGGTGTATTTGGAATGGATCTTGCGCCCGCCAGTGTCTGTTTCATTATATACGGGTCTGTGCAAAGTAAGGGTCATTTGCACAGACACGGGGAGAAGAAAAAAGGTCAAAAATTTTGTTCGATTCAGGGGGAAAATTCATATTCAAAATCAAGGTAGCGAAGTAAGGGAACTGTAACCTCCTCCCTGGCCCCGCCTACAAGTAGCACTACCACCTTCAAAACGGTATGTTCTACGTTTGGTGATTTGCACGTAGCGCATGCATCATCGCATGGGACATTTGACCCTGCACTTTCGACCCATTTTTTTGGGTAAGTTCATCTCACAAGGCAGATATACTATGTTGAGAGTATTTTGATTGCGTGTTTGATTTTATATCTGTCTAATTTTATTTAGTGAACCGTAATTAGTCAGAAATTTCATCTGAAGGAAAATGCTAAGATTTTTAAAGAAAAATACTGACCAATGGAAAGGTCGCATTACCGGCGTTTTCCAAATAAGGCTGAAAGAATGATGACGTAGCAGGAGGCGGACATATTACGCGTGCGCATTTTTACGCAATTCCCCTCACAAGCGTCACGTTGCATGAAGAAGAGCGAGGTCAGAATCCTGTAATTTTGGTGAGTTTTTGGGTGGAAATAAGTATAAATATTTGACACACTGTGTAATCTGTGTGGAGAAAAGGTGTTTTGTGATTAATGGTCAAATTTTAAAAGTAATCAGTGCTTGTATTTCAAAGATATGATCTTCTGAATCCGCCGATTGGCTTAGAGATTGACTTTCTGTGCACGGTTTCATTTCAAGGAATATGAATGATGTAACACCGGACTTGTTAGGTTGAAAGTTGAATCGTAGGCAAACGTGGGTAAAATCTCTGATCATAAATTGCATCATGAGTGATTGTACGCTTTATTCTAACAAAAATGCCGACTTGATCGACTTAAAGTTGTTATATTTCTTGAGAAGTGTCCAGTGCTTGCTCAAACATGAGTCAAACCGAATTAAAACTGAAAATATCTTAAGATGTTATCATAAAACATATACATGTAAAAAGTCCACAGTGATCAAAGAGATTGGATTTATATTTTCAATTTGAAACATGTGACACGACCTTACTTAACCATGCTTAAATAATAAGTTATTGTGAGGGCTTGCTTGCAATCATATTTAATCTAATCAAATATGTCAAAATCACATTTTCAATGTTCAATATTTTGGCGATGATGACCTTTGTTGGGATAGGCCTCCATGCACAAAACTTTGCCTGGATGCAGTGTTCATTCTTTCTGATTCTCCTGTCATGTTCGAGCGTGGCCACGAAGGAGCTATAAAACTCGTAGACCTATGTTGGAATCATCAATATTCTGATTATTCAATCTAAAATTTCCAAATTATTAACCAATTTTTTGGGGAGTGTTGAAACTCTTGATCTGTGGTTTGTCCTTTCACTGATCTGCTGATTTATCAAGCATTCACTGCTTATTCGATGATATTGACATCATTGATGATGAACGTGGTACTGCAAGGCAAAACTTACCATTCAAGCATGTCAAATTAAGAAAAGTGTGAACAATAAAATGGTGAAGTTGAACATTACGCAGTTCACAGGTACCGCTATCTGTAAACTGGGACACTTTCAGTTTGTACAAACATTTGGTTGAATGGAATGTAGTGTTCACACCTGACGAATCGGAACCAGTGTTTGGCAAAAGCAAACGAGGAGTTGAAGGAGACATAAAGGAGGCAGGTTGAAGATTGGGAGGTTTGCCTCTGCTGCAGTGCTGAGTGGCTCGCATGAGCATGAGTCCATCTTCCTGTGGGTTGTTAATTGAATTTCCTCCAAGGTCTGATGCGGGGGTCATGTCTCGGTCGCACTGAGGTTTCGTCGGTTCCCCAAGCCCTAGAGCTGTGACATGCTCAGCCTAGCAGTATTTCAGTGCTGAGTTTGTCCTCCCAAGGGGTTTATTTGTAGGTTATTCTTCAGTCTTCTAGTGAAACCACATCTAAGTTGACAACTGAAACCCCAAACTGTATATGAGCATCAAAGACAGAGTAAAAAACCAAATCCCAATTTCCTGGGGTTTCCGAGCGCAGGATTTTCTGCTGATGGACCTGCTGTCCATTTCGTATGCAAAGATTCTGTAATGCTTGTTCAGAGAGTGTGACATACAAATGACAGTGTGCTCGTTACAAGTTCCATCCAGATAATTTGTATTTGGAATACGTGTACACTCATGACTTGTGGTTTGTGGTCATGCCTGTTATTTTGAGTCATAAAAAAACTCACTTCGAGTTTTACTTTTTGTCACCAACCTGCCAGGACATGTACATGTATGTCATCATCCTGGTAAAAACCTCCAAGGCCACCAGATGACAGCATTTCCCTCTGTAGATATTGAGACATTCCCTATTGTACACATGCTCATTGTGTATGTCCTTGAATGGACTTTACACAACCAGCTGTCTTGGCAGTCTGCCAATGTAGTGGCCAAGTCTGAATTTATGAATGGAGTTACATCAGAACTGGTCAGCTGGTTGTAGTGAGTCACACTGGTAGTTGAGGTTGGAGGAAAGGCTACGTTTGTTTGTGGGGATAAGTTTTTAAACCTGAATCACTGGTACTGTATATGCAGCTAAGGGCTGACAAGCTTATGCATCAGTATATGTGCGAATATAGCCTTGGTCGAGGCGCTTGTCATTAATAGCCGCACCGCATTGGCCAGCTCGTGTACACGTATTCTCCGTTGTGTACATAAACATGATAATACATAACATAGTCAATGATAGGGCCTAAAAACCACATGTAGCTGGTCGTATAAATCTTCTCAACTCGGTTCTGAGTTTTCCTGCATAACAACACGGGTAGGGCTACATGATGAATAACTGTTAAATTTACATCCAACTCACATAGAAGACGTTGGTGACATGACACACACATTTCATGGCTGCCATGCTTGCTGTTTTGGACGAAAGTCTTCAATTAACTGATAAATTGCTGGTGCAGATTTCAAATTTATAAAGAGAGTTTTAGTACAGTGACGCATTTCAGCCATGACTCAGACAAGCTTGGCCAGTATTATGTTTTGGTGATGTAATTGCATATCAATATTATGGTGATATTGGTACGAGCTGTGATTGGATAATCCATAAATATGTACGCCCCCACTCATATTGTATTTGCATACAAGCTCTGCGCGTGAAATCTTGCGCAAAATAAAGAAACACACAAGTCTTCGTGGACGGTTGAACCAAGGCATTTGTCCGGGTTCAGCTGATTTGCATCATCTACAGTGCGAGAACTGTTGACTTCTGTCTTCAAGTAATGTCGGTTTCTGGAAATGTGAACTTGACTGTCAAGCAAAACTTGAAACGTTGACTTGTTCTGTTATTTCTTCATTATCACAGAGTAAAGACATCCTGAACTGAAAATGTCCAAGGCTGAAATCAAGCCCGGCGACCCGGCAAAGGGTGCTGCCATCTTTAAGCAGAAGTGCACCCAGTGTCACGTCATAGACAAGACAGGCAAACACAAGCAAGGGCCCAACCTAATGGGCCTGTGGGGCCGGAGGACGGGCCAAGCGCCAGGATTTAGCTACACGGATGCAAACAAGAACAAAGGTGGGAGAAATAGATAGCGGCTACGTCGCCTGCGTCGGATTCAGGCTTCCGGTTTTCTCTTTGTCACCATTTTCACAGGCTGAAACACAATGACTGTGGTCAGCCTCTTATGAAAATTGTATAATGAACGATTATGATTTCCCAAATTGACAAGTGAGTTTGGAAGCATCTAAAAACAAGGATTTTCGTGGTTTGAATAGGCTTATGGATGTTTGTTGAAAAAAGGCACGATGGTCAAGGTAAAATATAGGGCAAGGCATTGGCCGTGAGGATTGAAACTTTTTGTGAGGCACCTCGACCAGTGAGAGGGGCAACGACGGCGCTGGCCGTTCATTTTGAGGCCTGGTTTTACACAAGTTCACCCCATCCATTTAGTTGTGGAGTTACGCAGGGAATCGTAATGGACTTCATCACAGTCCCAGTTGACGACCTCAACTCTTACATATAGAAAATTTTACCAATTAATAACTGTCCCCCTTATTTTGACTTTGAAAAGGTGTTACTTGGGAGAGAGAAACGCTATTTACATACCTCGAGAACCCCAAGAAGTACATCCCAGGAACCAAGATGGTCTTTGCCGGCCTCAAGAAGAAGAAGGAACGTGAGGACCTGATATCGTACCTTGAGGCGGCAACGCAGGGAAAAGAAATCTAACACATGCTCAAATGCATATGATTAACCTTTGACCTCTGAAGTCTAAGACAAAAAAAATGCTGCCCCTAGTTTTATTATCAAATATCCCCCGGTGCATTTTTAACAGTAATCTTTTGGGTTTTTTTTTTAACAGTTGTGCAAGGGGTTTGAAACGCGACAAAACTTTCGCAATTATTTGAAAGCAAAACGAATCAGACTCAACACCCAACATGTATCAGATGTTGTTACTGAACCCTTAAACTGTCACATTTCAAAAACCAAATTTTGTTTGGACTTCCAAGTTGCCGTTGCCAATATATCTTCATAATTTATTTCTTTTTTAATGGAAAAGTGTGAAACTTCAAGTGTTTCCCGCTGATTTTTTTTTTTGTGGTGGTGGCTACATATCTGTCTGTACGTGTGTGTGTGCTGAAAGTCTGAATGCAAGATTTTGTTTAGCGTATTTTAAAAGAATCCGAGGATTTGTACATTATCATATTAACAAAACTGTACATGGAGCCAACAACTATGATTATGATTGAATGTGCACAAAGGCGGTTAGTGTGGAATTGATTACCACTCGACAGGAAAACACCATCTGTGTTGCCTCCAGACAACACATTTTGCTGTTGTACCAAAGATGGAAAGAAACTTTGGATTAATCTCACTGTTGACTGTTGTACAAATTTATAATTATGAAGAGTCTAGTATGTGGTTATTGGAAAACTTCCTTGTGACATGTTCTCTGTTATGTTTGGTTACTACGTACCACTGTACATATATCTAAAAATGCCCGGGGACACTTAATTTCTCTGAATTCGGATTGGATGTGTAGTGGGTCACATGGGGTCAGTGTTTCCACGCATACACGGTGCATGATACCCACAATGCAACTCTCTCTTAAGTTTTAAGGTTCAGCTGTCGCCAGCGCTTGATGGAGAGGTATGCGTGAGTGAGCAGACCGCAAGGGACGCATACAGTAAACTGAGGCAGAGTTCACTGGATCATATGTTTGCCACCGAGACAAAAAATTCTTGCCCAGTTGCTAAAAAACCTTTTCCTTCACTACTTGCTAGGTTGGAAGCCATTTTGTCTTAAATTATCGGAGGTCAAGAACAAAAAGAATTGCATTTTATTTGTGTGAAGAAATTGATTCCCCCGAGTGGACGATATTAACTGCCTGTTTTCAACATTAGTACCAAATGTTAGCATTCCCTGTGTTTTAGGTTCCTCATAGCAATATTATACAGTGGATGTAAACACACATAGGTGCATAACGGTGTGGTTAAAATACACAGTCATGTCATTTTTAACACAAGTAAAAAGGTTTTTCACTGACATCTATGTATTTTGTGTTTTGGGGGTGTAGATTCGTTTGTAAACATATTTATGATGGATCTGGGGAAGCAACTACATTGTATTAATTTTTGAATCATCATTCTGGCTAATAGTTTTGTTCAAAGTATACATCTATTTGGAAACTTAAAACTACACTCCAGAAATCCTCAGGTAACCAGCGTCAATTCACAAGACAAAACCAGTTCTTAAATTTCACAGCAGCACACAATTAGATTTCCTTCACAGTCTTGGTTTATTCTTAGCTCATGTGTGAGGCGGGACCTACGTGTATGTTTATTCTGTAGGCGGACTGGTCCCTTGTGGTTTTGGCTGTGAGCTGCTCCATTATTTATTTGGCTGTTGTGTCTTTTTAAACCGAGTGAGCACTTTTACAGTATTCTTTGATACTGCGCACGGTTTTCCGTGAAAAGGGTTTTTTTTGTCCAACCAGTCTTTTTCCATCGTGTATTTTCTTCCCATGTTTGAATTGATTCTTTACAGATTTTGTTGTGGAATAAAAAGTGATGATGATTGACGTTAGGCCTTTGCCTTTTGCGGTGCCATTTTTGAAAACCTTTTTTCTCGTGTTTTTGTTGAGGTTCTGAAGAAGTTTGTGCTGAAATAAACTGTGTTGCTTGCCTTCAAATTTGGCAGGGACGATGGAAGGTCGAAGCTTCGAGTCCATTCGCTCTATGAAATGTCTGTTCGTTCAAAAGCCGTGACCGAAACGGGCTTCCACTTTCAGAGGTACGGCTACGTCCTATCCTCGTACGCGTATCGAAGACCCTTGACCTAGCTCTAGACATCCCAGTCGGATGCAGCCATTCTCTCCACGGACGTTCAATAACGCCCCCTGTTGGTCCTTTATGGCAAGGCTGTGCGTAGCCAGTCGACAGAGGGCGACAAAGTACACCATACGTGCAAGTACACTACATATATGCGTTGATGAGTGGGGTGTGGGCCACGTGCCACACAATGGGGGGAAAGGCGGGTCACGTACCTAGTGAATGTCCGTGCTCCTGGGTGTAACTCTACCCATTGGAACTCTTGCAATGAGCAAGACTCATATTAAAGCGGTTCATTTGCTTTAAGCGCCATCTCGAAAAAGGAGGAACCGGGGGCCCCAAACTAGTATTAGTTACGCGAATGCAGAAACGTCCACCTTACAATTCAAATGAAATTATATTAGGCTGTAGTCCGAGTATTGTAGGATGTTACTTCGAGAACTCGAAGTCACTAAACTCCGTGATACTCCGTGTGCCTTCGAGGCAAAAAGGTTCACAATGGCGTCGTAACGCTATGGGGTTTTGAAATCGAATTTTTGTGGTGAAATGGTTTGCAGCCCTAAAAAAGCTATTAAACCAAATTTTCCCCTGTCAGCAAATCTACTTGATCTATACCTGCTAAGAAAGGGATACTGGTAGTTTCAGAGCGTGAGACGGAGTATTTTTGGGGAAAAAAATGAGATTTTTGCTCACCAATTTCTCGCTTCCACCCGTTGACTGTCACTCCGTTCTTGCCGGTGGCGTTTATCAGACTGCGCATGCGTTGAGCCCGCCACTGACCGCGCTTGCTCCACATCTTGGCTCGACCATTTTCGGTGGCGGGGGATGACATCTTGTGTTGTTTTCATCGTGGGACCGTCCGGGCTGTTGTACAGTATGTTGTGACCTGGAAACCGACGGTGACACATCAGGCGAGACGCGCGACATGTACTGCGCCGTGTGTGATGTCATCCCCGCCACCGAAAATGGTCGAGCCAAGATGCGGAGCAAGTGCGGTCAGTGGTGGGCTCAAAGCATGCGCAGTCTGATAAACACCAACGGCATGAATGGAGTGACAGTCAACGGATGGAAGCGAGAAATTGGTGGGCAAAAACTCCTTGTTTTCCAAAAATACTCCGTCTCATGCTCTGAAACTACCATTATCCCCTTTTTAGCAGGTATAGATCAAGAAGATTTGCCGACAGGGGAAAATTTGGTTTGATAGCTTTTTAGGGCTGCAAACCATTTCACCACAAAAATTCGATCCCAAAATCCAATAGCGTTACCGTCGCCATGTAAACCTTCTTGCCTCGAAGGCACACGGAGTATCACGGATCCGGAGTTAGTGACTTCGAGTTCTCGAAGAAATACGATGCATGCGTTCGATAACCTCCCCGTAACGGGGTTTGCATCAGCCCAGCTTGAGAGCCATGCAATGGGTCAAATTGAACGACATAATGTTATATTATGCGGGCGGAACATGCATACATCTTTTAAAGTTTTTAACGCATCGAAACCGAGGCTCTCTCTGTGTTGAACATCATCACGCGCGCCTGTGGAGTCCACACAGTACATGCTGTATCCGGTTCGTAAGTGTGACGCCACTTCAGTTTATACCACGCCCACTGCACAAGATACACGACCATCGCAGGTACGTTAGTTCGCGGTAAATTGCCTTTATTTTTTTCTTTTGATTTTACATGTCGAGTCATCCTGAAAGACTCTTCCACAAAAATTTGCAGCCTGAAAAGTTTGAATTTAACATACCTTCATGTATTTTGTGTCTTGACTCCTTACTTTCAATAGTCTGATCGTATTAAGAAGTTAAGCTGACGCTTACAGCCTCGTCCTATTGGGATTCCTCTATACCAGCCAGAACGTAAAGGCTGTCAACATTTTGCTGGCTTCAGGCATCAGCTCTGCAGCAATTGTTGAATGCAGGGTCAATTTTCTTCGCTTGCGACGATCTTTCCCAGACTGGGCATGTCAAAACATACGTCATCTACCTAGAGGGAGATCGAGGTAGGACGTCATCAGGTCATTGAATACGAAGTTAAAAACACATTTCTGAACCCCTTGCTATTTCTCGTAATGTAATTTACGAGAAATACCGCTCCGAGCGGGAACAAAAGAGGGCGTG